CGACGTTAAAAAAGATACGTTTGAACTACGAGTGTCAGCAAGAGCCACGTAAATACCTGTTTACACTCGGAGCGGACTCGCGCGCTTGTTGGAAGTCTTGTATTCGCGCTGTTTGTAAGCGCTTCGGGACCGTTCTTTTACGATTGCAACTCGATACTGACGCGACACTCGGCAAAGAAAGGTTGGACCGGGGTTGTACGTATACCTCCCACGAACTGTTATAGCTCGACAGTGACGTGCAGTCTGTCAGAATAAAAACGGCATACCAATAACAAAGTGTACAGTCTCCGGCAATATGAAAGACCCACTGGGAGCGTGTGGCCGAGGCAGTGGCTGGCGGGGGCGCTGCGAGCGCTCCGGGGAGTTCCATTCTGCTTCGAGGGGAAGGCGCTCAATCGGGGCTCAGCTAAAGCGCGCGCTTATCAATTTGTGCTGAGCCCCGAGTGAGCGTCCTCCCCTCGAAGCAGAATGGAATTGCCGGGAGCGCTCGCAGCGCCCCCGCCAGCCACCGCCTCGGCCACGCGCTCCCAGTGGGTCTTTCATATTGCCGGAGACTGTACATACCGTGTTACGAAGGTAATCCATACGGCGTTTATTTCAGCTCTATATCACACAAAACAAGAAGATAGAATCGACGAGAGTCCCTTTTCGACGAGTGTTCGTCAACACTGCCTCGGAAAACAAGGGGAAGAGATTGACCTCACCTCTTAATCTAGAATTGAGGTCAGTGATCAAACTATAATACGGGAAGGGTCCATAAGGGTCGCGCGGGCATATTCCATTTAGCACGCCAGCCGATCGTAGGCAGACGGTCTTGCGACGAAGCAACGCAGCGCCGAGTCGGAATGCCTGCTAGGCCTATACGCTTCGTCGGAGTCGGTGGATCCAGCTTTCTTGTTCGTCGTGGTCTGTTTTAAGTACTGTTTTCTTGCTGCTTGAAGTCGGCACGCGCGGGAAGAACACGTAGAAAAATAAACGTTCAGTCAGAGTTTTGAGAGGAAGGAAAACAAAGAAAATAAACGTTCGTCGCTGGCCGCCACCCAAGTCACTGTCGGCCCTGCCCTACTGCGCACGCGCAGTAGTTGCTTCGTTTACCACACGATAGATGGCGCCTGGCTCTCAGCATTATCAAATTTGGCAATTTTCGCCACACATCTCTAATTATGCTACAAAATGTGGATCTGAATATTATTTAACAAAACTTTTAGGAAACATTCGCCGGCTATTTATTGTTTACGATCGCGGTGCTGGTGAGGTAGGCTCTTACCCAATAGGCGACCTGGATTTGGCTGACGTGCTCCATTTCCGCGGATGCATCGTAGTGAACAGGCGAAGGAAGGAAGGCGCAAAAGAGTCCAGTTTTCTTTTAAAAGTTCTATAGCAAATAATTTTTTTGGCTCCCTATTTTTGTGTTTTTGTGTTTCTTTTCACACTTTTTACGACGTGCGGTGGATGAAACTCGATTTTAAAATCATTTCATGGTCCCTTTAGCGGTATCGTCTGCTACAGGTTTAACAAGTGTCCTTTCACGTTCTGAAATTTAGTCAGAGGGGATGTCAGTACGTAGGCTGGCCGCTGGCGTCTGTGCCTGAGCTTTCCATCTGTTCGGCATTTCGGCACAGTTTTGAGATGTAAGTAAGTACATATTGCAACGTGCCCGATGACCCGGCCGTTTATGTTTATTTGTATTTTCTGGATATACCAGGGCTCGAGGCGCAGTCCTTTCCCCCAGCTTCTCGGCGTTCAATGTGATCGGCAGGTAAAGGGGTGCCCCGATTTCGCCTCGTATCAGTGAATTGTAGTGGCCTGGACGCTTTTCTAGTTTACAACGCATTCGCGGTACGACGCGGCCGGTGTCTCCTGCCGAATTTGAAAGTAGACATTCATCACGACCTCTCGCGCTGGACGCCCAAACGTGCATTTGTGAAAGGACGTTTTGAAGCGACCCGATGAGGAAAGCAGCAAAGCACATGATACGGCCATTACGGGAACGAAATCACTCAGAAAAACCGAGCGCTGCAGCCGTGTTGCCAGAGGATGTGCGTGTTTTTACCGAACAACATGCATTTACATATATTAATAAAATCATAAACTTCAGATATCTAATTCTTTGAGTTGCAAATCATTCTCTGCAGTACAAATCTGGAATATTGTGCAATGTTTACGTACAAAACAGTTATTTAAAAAATTATTACTTTTGCGGACTACTTTGTGGTGCGTAGGAATGCTCTTCTCGAAGTTGCAAACCGTCCCTCAGCCTTTGGCTGCGCTCGGACGGAAGCTGAAACGAAGTATAGCTTTTGGTTTCGGTTTCACTACATAATCAAATTGATTGATCCGATTTGGGCGAGGAGTAGATGGACGGAGTTTAATATTGTTGGCACAGCATCACACCTCAGCTTACGAGCCTCCTGTCCGCTTAGAGCTCAGCTCGTAGCTCTCTTCTGTGAGATGATTGCTGCATAAGCGGGATCTCGATCTTGACGGGAAGCTATAGTCCCTACGCACGGCGACGACCCACTTCGCTCGACACTGCACGTCTTGCAGAAAAGTGTGGAACGTCATGTCTTGGCTGGCACGTGCTGCCCGGTGGTTGTGGCACCCAACCGCGCAACAAAAATCTCACCCAACTACGAAACAAGTCGAGCACATTAACAAAAACGAAGCACGCTGAGGCAGACAAAAATGCTCGCTATGTGTTTTGTGACGTCAGCGCTTCAATGTGGCCAACGAGAGCAGTGTTTACGCTAGAATGCGATTGGAGCAGCATAAATTCAATTACTCACGCAGAGGGGCATATAAAATTCAGATATTGCACGGACGATCCGTCTCGAGGCAATAACAATGATATTCAATTGTTTTCTCGAATACAAAATTTGACCGGACAATCCCTTTAACTTTGACCTGTTTTGGTGTGTCCAATCACTGCGTGTCTCGCCATTTTGTCGAAGAATTTGTGTGAAATATGCATTCCTGCAGCAATAATTGCGTGGCTCAGTGTTTTCGACTTAAACACGCGTACCTGGTGCCCATTCGTACCGATTATTTAGCGGTGTAATATTTTGCCCGTGTAAAAGAAATGTTTTCTAGACCCGTTGCTATGTGCAGCTTTCATTTTAGCTAATAAGACACGCTTATGTGACTAAAAGCGCCTTGCGACGGTCGATCCACGCGCGTTGCTTTCGCTTCGTCGCGCGCCCCCGATGGCCTTCCTTTGCGACGTCACGAGAAAGAGCGCTACGGCTTTCTTTTCTAGAGTGTGTTGGCAATAAAGCCCCTCGATATGTTTCCGTTTGTCTTGCAAGTAGCGTCAAATGCGCGAGCGCACGTGGCTCGTGTCTGGAGCGGCCCTTGGAAGCAAATGGCGGCGCAGCACTGAAATGAGCGGCCCTTGGAAGCGAATGGCGGCGGAGCGTTCGCTCGTGGCACGTGTCTCGCGCGTTTCCACAACAATGGTTGGCGGTACTTGTACAAAACGCCTTTATCAAGGGGCTTTAGTTGGCAAGGGCCGTTGGCACCATCTCCCAGGGTCATTTCGCAGTTCTGACTCGTTGCTAAATGGCGGCGCAGTTATCGTATTTAGTTCGGTCTCGGTAGACGCCAACGATCCAGGTTTCAAAGGTGAGTTTCCCAACTGAGTCTTTTAGTAACGTTGGTCTAAACATAACCTGAAACGAACCATAGAAAAAAAAAGTTAAAATAATCAAAAGAGGCGGCTTGCGCTTTCAGTGTCTTATTAAAACGATAAGAAGGCTTTTCTTGTCGCTTTTTTTTGTTCTCGTTATTCTCTTTCATAAGTTTATATCCACCAATGAAATTCTGCCAGCTTAGCGTATACGCTAGCAACGTAAAAAAGCGTAATGACCGAGGAAAGGAAGAAGAAGCCAACTGGGCGTAAGACGTGTCTTTTCGATCGTCCGAAAGCCAGCCGGACCACTGGCACAGACCATGTCCTCGATCGACATGGTGCTCAGGCTGCTCAGTTGCAAGCTGGACCGCAAGCTGAAAGACTCCAAGGCCCGCTTTCGTAAAGACCGCCGCTCGGCCAACACTGGCGCCAACCCCTGGAGCCTACCCGCGGGGGTGATGAATTTTCTGCGTCGCCGGTAATTCGGCCGGCTACTATGCAAGTCGGACACGCGAGGAGCCCACTCCAGGTGCTTGAGACCGGCCTGCTAGAAGTAAGCAGCCAACGGCAGCACCGCGAAGACCACAACCGCGAAGAATGCTGTTAGGCCTAACACACATATCCTAATCATCAGAACTTTCATCTTGTATATTACATCATCACATAATCCTCTTCACTAGACGCGGCACCGCGGGCCTCCTTGGTACGGGCTGTTGCCTTTCTGCGGTGCCGCGGCTCTCCTGAGCAAATAAAGATGATTATGATTATGATTATGACAGTCGTAATGCGAACGAGAAATATTCGATTCTGGTCGCGAGAGGCGCCGCGACCAGAATCGGTAATATTTGAACTCGATTTGAATTCGATTCGACTTGAAATTTCACAATTCGCACACCTCTATTTATTACCCGTGAGGGACTGCCTGATACAGGTATAAAGCCAATGAGTGGGAGGAGCCATATAGATCCAATAGTAAACGGGTCGAAGCAAGCACGATCAGTCCAAGCAGGTGCAAACAGCGGGCGAGTATAGAAGCCTGTATTAGACCCCTTCAAAAATACGCCCTGTTACGATCGGTCTGAAAATACTGCAAAGTGGGGTGCGCAAAACAACACCAACAAGCTGGCAAGCGTAAAGCTGATCGAATACTCACTTCCAAGAGCCTGTGTACACTTGATAGACTGCATTTTTATGGCGTCTTCTGCGTACGCCACTTTGCAATATTTTCAGATCGACCGTGAGAGAGCGTTAAAGAATAAATGTTGTACCGCTCTTTCGAATGGTTCTAAAACACTTTATTGGTGTAAACCTTTCTGCTGCACCTCGTGATGGGAGCAATGGAGATCCTGCCCATAGGGGACGGGACAACTTTGTTGAGCCCCTAGTTCGGAATCTGGTCAATCTCTTCCCAAACAATTGCAGAGTCACTTTGTTCCTTCGGGTCTATGTTGCGGGCAATTTCCGCAGGAGCCTCGAGCTTGGTGGAGGTACAGTCTGCAAAAACAGTGACGATTTGAATTGCGGAAAAGGGTGATGGTCTCAGCCAACGTTGGACCTAGTTGATGATCTGAGTCATAAAGCTTTAAGGCCCGTTCACACAGTTGTGACTGCTTAGAACCTCTTAATATCTCTTAGGACGAGAGAGCACGCTGGCGCCATCTATGCGGTGACCCTGGAACTGCATTTCACTAGAGTGAAGGTTTTGCGGGATTTCCCGAGGTCAAATGTGAGTTCTGCCTCTGAGAAATGGTCGTTTATAACGTTGACAAAAGTTGTTCGAGTCACGAAAAAATAATGCGCGACAGAAATATTAAAAAAAAAAAAAATTACGGAACCGCCAAGTTTCCACTACTACCCGAGAGATGGCGCCAGTGAGTCCTCTCGTCGTAAAAAGTATTAAGATGTTCCAAGGCACTCGGTCTTAAGAAGTCGTAAGTGTCTGAACGGGCCTTTAGTCACCCACGTATGCTAACGAGATATCATAATTTTGACGCCATCGCGATTGTCGAGTGACGCGAGCGTGGCGCAAGCGACTATCGGCTGCCTAAATTATTCCTTTTTTTTTTTTAAGGTTTATTGAATCCTTTCCGGAATTGTGAAATGATGCATGAATTATGCGCGTAGACTCCATAACTTGATCTCATCGCCTCCGGCGTGAAGCCCGCGATTGGTTCCGAGTTCGCTTCGAGCACTGACGCAGCACTCACGTGGAATGCGCGCTCACAGTGCATGACAACTAATGGCGGCCGCACATAATCTATGCATCATTTCGAAATTTCAAATATTATCTAATAAACCCTGCAGCGGATACGCTTTAAATAAAAAAATATACAAATAAGGATCGTGGTACGCAGACGTGGATATGCTCATTAGTGCCTGCTAAAAGTTTTCATAAAGATTATTCAAGTATAGTTTTAGTCTTCAACTCAAAAGCGAAATGAGAAACTACGTGGTCGTGACGTGCTTGAGCACCGCATGCGATGATGCCAAGCTTCCAACGTGCTTCCTAGACACACAATGAACTTGTCATTCCTAAGTGATGATCAATGCCGTCACGGCATATGACCACGAACGCGAATCCAAATATTCGTCGACGTACTAAAGAGCGCATACGCCCGAGTGACGCAGTGCTCGTGTCCAATGCGTGAGCTGGGTTCGGCTGCCGTGGTTGGGCACCGCGGGTGAGTCAAAGTGAGAAGGCTGATAGCTTTCGAAGAATAGGAGGTAAGAAATAATCTGCAATATCTTCAAATTTTAGGACCGAAAGGCAGGCTTTTTACTTATTTTTACCCTCGTGTAGTTTCCTTTTGGCTTAGCAAATGATATGCGATTTGTAAAACCCCAATTTATCCCAGCCCAAAATTAATTGCATGCTACCTTTAAGCACTTTAAAATGCGGCAGCGTTTGTTTCAGGTAGCACCCCCTCCCCCTTACCTTTAAAAATTTCGGTCGACCCATCGAAACCGGGTTAGAGTGAGGTAAACCGCGAGCATGCGCGTGCCATCGGTCGCAAGACAGTTATGAGGCAGTCGTGTCTTTAGAATGTCTCGCAATAGGCCTTTTGTCGAATTACCAAGCAACAAGTGCACTGCCGCCCAGGCCTCTTAGCAGGCACTTAATAAAATCAATCAATCAATCAACAAATCAATCAATCAATCAATCAATCAATCAACAATCAATCAACCAAATCTAATCTAATTTGTCTATCGAATCAAATCGATAAATCAATCAATAAACTAAAGATATGCCGAAAAAGTATGCACACGTCCTGGCGAGTGCAGGAGTAACTGTTCGAAAGCAAAAATCTAAAACAAACTACACTTTGCACCTTATTTTGATTATTTACTTCGAATTTTTTATACAGGGAAGGCGAGCGCCTGCAGCGCGTGCAACTACGTTCTTAGCATTCTCTTTGGCCCTTGGGTAATTTAGCGAAATGTTTGCTTTGGCCAACAAGTACTTCGAAGAGCGCTTCGTCGAGCCTCGGTTCAGTGTTCTGTGCGGGGTGTATGATCGCCTCCGGTCGAAGAGCGACGGGCGCACTTGGCGCCCGCAGCACGGGGTTCTCCTGAACACGATATTTTCGAAAACAAACGTGTAGCCCTGCACGTTTTTATTTTTTACGAATATAACGCAGAACATAATGACCCCAAAACTTAAGAAACGAAGCCTCTTTATCGAATGAAACTGAGCGTTCATTTGGTGCTTATATAGGTTGCCGCTACAGGGTTCGTCGCGCTAGACCCTTCTCAAAAGTCCATGAAGCAACCTTGGTGGCCGCCATTGCTAGCTCACGAAACGCGTGATTGGATCCGTGTCCTCGCCGAACGATGACGTCACACTCGTGACCAATACATGCTGATTGCATGCGATTAAACAATGGCGGACAGGCGTTGGCTCGGACTTTTGAAGAGGGTCGGTTTAATCAGCAGAATATGGCCTTCATAAATACAAGCTCTGCTAGCATCCTATTTCGACGTATGTCCGCAACGAAGTGCCGTAGAAACAAAGCCTCGTTTGTGGTTTAATAAAGATATAGCAACTTCGTATAAAAAGCGATTTTTGCGTTTTTGGATCGCTCGTTTAATAATGATTTCATGACGACGATACGTTTTGAGATGTCAACAGAGAATATTACGAGGGTTACCAAGCTATAGTTTTTCGTAAGCATCTTCATTTGATTTGAAATAAATAAAAAAAGGAAATAGGCACAAACAAATTCAAGATGGTAGCCGTGAAGCCTCAGTTAGCAGAGCTATAAACGTCACAGGCTCGCGAACGTACCTTGTCGTTCTGACATGAGTATTCTCTCGGGTTGCACTTCCAAAAAGGCACCTATAACGTCAGCGCGACCCATTCGAAATATTTTTTAGTGTAAAGTAATTAATTGACAAAAAAGACTTCCAAAGTAAAAACAATAAATTGTACTTGGGTTGCCAAAGGCATGGTAGCGCTTTTTTGGACGAGGACAAAAGAAAGAAAGACAAGACAGACACGAGCGCTGACTGCAACTATTTAATCAACATGGAAATGAGGCATATATACACGCTTCGATCCTATCAATCAACCAACCCCAGGCCTAGCCGCCACCTGCATGAACTGCACTTCCTTATCGAAAAGGTCGATAGATGCAACGCTGACACACCCCAGTCCTGCCCTTTTTATTTCGTCTGCTTCAATAATCTCCCTAACAGTTCTATTTTTATGTTTAGCAAGTACGGAACATGAGTCAAACAAAGGTTTGCATCCGCAGTCATGGCAGTGCACTGAAAGATGGCCATCCCGATAGTTTTTTACGTTCAGACTATGTTCTCGGAGCCTATCGTTCAGGCATCTCCCAGTCTGACCAACATACTTCTTACCGCATGTTAAGGGAATCTGATATACCACACCCTCAACACAAACGGCAAACGGATTTCTGTGCTTAATCACACAACCCAGCGAGGCTTTCCGGAAAGGGTTCGTCAAATGACTAAGCCTGGCTAGCTTCTCTGGCGCAGAAAAGACCACCTTAGTGTTTATGCGGCTTGCTATTTTCTTTAGGTTATGCGCCGTCTTGTGCATATAAGGCACGACTGCAATCCTTTGTTTACTCCTGGCCTCTTCTGGACGGGTGTTGCCCTTAGCTCGAAGCCTCTTAAGGATCACCTCGGCTACCGACACCAGTACAGCCTCCGGGTAGCCAGCCGCCAACAGACGTTCAGACTGCTCCTGGACACTCAAATGTGCCACGTGGTGACATGACTTATGAAGGGCGTTCTTGAAGCACAAATTAACAATCCCTCTCTTAACCAGTTTTGAGTGGGACGAATTAAAAGGCAGCAGGGGCTTGTTGGCTCTAGGTTGATACATCCAACATACATGATTCTCGACGAAAGTAAGCCTGATGTCGAGGAAACGGATGACACCATCTACGGGCACTTCATGTGTAAGTTTCAGGGGATGAAGGGCATCACTAAACATAGTTAAAAGACTATCCACCACCGAATGGAAATGTGTCGAGTCGCAGTTAAGAAATACTAAAAAATCATCAACAAATCTAAAACACTTCCTTACGTTAAAATCGCTCAGGCAGTCCGAAAGGACTCTGTCATGATACGCTAAAAAAATGTCACTTAAAATGGGCGCTAAACATGAGCCGATACAAATACCTTCCTTTTGAAGGTACGTGTCTTTGTTCCATTCCGCGAAAGTAGACTTAAGATAAAACGAGAGTAGATCTAAAAAGTCATCCACCGTCACGCCCACAGCGTTTTGAAAAGCCACAACCCCATACTCCTGAATACAATCCTCAACGCAACTTCGTAATTTGTCATGAGGTAAGGAGTAATAAAGATCTTTAATGTCCAATGAACATGCTAAAAAACCTACGTCAGCGTTCATCTTCAAAAAATCCACCACTTCGTCAGAGCTCCTGACTAAAAACGGGTCGTCAATGGTAAGGATCTTTAGTTTATCTTGCAACCACAAGGCAATCGACTTTTGCCAAGTGCCATGCTCAGAGACTATGACCCTCAAAGGCCAGTCTTCCTTATGTGTTTTCACACTGAACATAATCTGTAAACAACCACTTCTGCTATTTTCAACGCTTTTAGCCAAGCGGGTCAGGTTTAACCTATTACAAAGACGCTTCCCCTCTCCCTTCAGTTTTTTCAGAGGCACATCCTGCCGTAGATTGAACACGGAGGTGATAGCCTCGAGGGCTTTCCCTCCGAATTCCCCCTCCGTTAAAACAACAAAACCCCCTTCTTTATCAGCGGGAAGGACCGACAAGTGCCGTTCCCTTAACAAAGAGACGACACGTCTAACTGGCAGACGGGACGGTGCCGGTTTTTTACGGGGTAACGCATCCACACCCTCAGATATGCATCTCTTAATTTCGTCCTCTGGAGCGCACCTAGAGACATCCCGGACAAGCCCTAGAAGTTCCGGAGCACTCATAACCGGTTCAACGGCAAACTTAGGCCCTAAAGCAAGTACCCGTCTAGCTTCCTCAGGGAGCTGCACATCACTTACAGTCCTGACGTTGCAAGTAACCACTGGACGTTTCTTGGGTATGCAGCCTCTAAGACGTGTCAGCGACTGCTGCCAGATGAATTCCGTGCACCGGTCCACGATGCCGAAGAACTCCCGCAGTCGTCGGCTGTCCGAATCCGGCTTGCCAGGGTCCCGAAGAATGGAGCACAGCAGATCCTTGTAGAGACGCACTTGCCGTCGCCATTCAGATCTCAGGACCTTCAGAATTCTTGTTCCATGACCGGCCGACGGAAGGAACCCGCCAAACAGCCGCATAATTTCTTCGGGCAAGTGCTTACAGCGTATGCAAAAAGTAAGCGTGCGAGCCATACAGGCGGCGTTGGCAAGGAGTGAAGCGATGAAGCAAGGATCCAACGAAGAACATTTAAAAGGGCCCGATGTACTTTGTTAAGGGAACGGCACTTGTCGGTCCTTCCCGCTGATAAAGAAGGGGGTTTTGTTGTTTTAACGGAGGGGGAATTCGGAGGGAAAGCCCTCGAGGCTATCACCTCCGTGTTCAATCTACGGCAGGATGTGCCTCTGAAAAAACTGAAGGGAGAGGGGAAGCGTCTTTGTAATAGGTTAAACCTGACCCGCTTGGCTAAAAGCGTTGAAAATAGCAGAAGTGGTTGTTTACAGATTATGTTCAGTGTGAAAACACATAAGGAAGACTGGCCTTTGAGGGTCATAGTCTCTGAGCATGGCACTTGGCAAAAGTCGATTGCCTTGTGGTTGCAAGATAAACTAAAGATCCTTACCATTGACGACCCGTTTTTAGTCAGGAGCTCTGACGAAGTGGTGGATTTTTTGAAGATGAACGCTGACGTAGGTTTTTTAGCATGTTCATTGGACATTAAAGATCTTTATTACTCCTTACCTCATGACAAATTACGAAGTTGCGTTGAGGATTGTATTCAGGGGTATGGGGTTGTGGCTTTTCAAAACGCTGTGGGCGTGACGGTGGATGACTTTTTAGATCTACTCTCGTTTTATCTTAAGTCTACTTTCGCGGAATGGAACAAAGACACGTACCTTCAAAAGGAAGGTATTTGTATCGGCTCATGTTTAGCGCCCATTTTAAGTGACATTTTTTTAGCGTATCATGACAGAGTCCTTTCGGACTGCCTGAGCGATTTTAACGTAAGGAAGTGTTTTAGATTTGTTGATGATTTTTTAGTATTTCTTAACTGCGACTCGACACATTTCCATTCGGTGGTGGATAGTCTTTTAACTATGTTTAGTGATGCCCTTCATCCCCTGAAACTTACACATGAAGTGCCCGTAGATGGTGTCATCCGTTTCCTCGACATCAGGCTTACTTTCGTCGAGAATCATGTATGTTGGATGTATCAACCTAGAGCCAACAAGCCCCTGCTGCCTTTTAATTCGTCCCACTCAAAACTGGTTAAGAGAGGGATTGTTAATTTGTGCTTCAAGAACGCCCTTCATAAGTCATGTCACCACGTGGCACATTTGAGTGTCCAGGAGCAGTCTGAACGTCTGTTGGCGGCTGGCTACCCGGAGGCTGTACTGGTGTCGGTAGCCGAGGTGATCCTTAAGAGGCTTCGAGCTAAGGGCAACACCCGTCCAGAAGAGGCCAGGAGTAAACAAAGGATTGCAGTCGTGCCTTATATGCACAAGACGGCGCATAACCTAAAGAAAATAGCAAGCCGCATAAACACTAAGGTGGTCTTTTCTGCGCCAGAGAAGCTAGCCAGGCTTAGTCATTTGACGAACCCTTTCCGGAAAGCCTCGCTGGGTTGTGTGATTAAGCACAGAAATCCGTTTGTCGTTTGTGTTGAGGGTGTGGTATATCAGATTCCCTTAACATGCGGTAAGAAGTATGTTGGTCAGACTGGGAGATGCCTGAACGATAGGCTCCGAGAACATAGTCTGAACGTAAAAAACTATCGGGATGGCCATCTTTCAGTGCACTGCCATGACTGCGGATGCAAACCTTTGTTTGACTCATGTTCCGTACTTGCTAAACATAAAAATAGAACTGTTAGGGAGATTATTGAAGCAGACGAAATAAAAAGGGCAGGACTGGGGTGTGTCAGCGTTGCATCTATCGACCTTTTCGATAAGGAAGTGCAGTTTATGCAGGTGGCGGCTAGGCCTGGGGTTGGTTGATTGATAGGATCGAAGCGTGTATATATGCCTCATTTCCATGTTGATTAAATAGTTGCAGTCAGCGCTCGTGTCTGTCTTGTCTTTCTTTCTTTTGTCCTCGTCCAAAAAAGCGCTACCATGCCTTTGGCAACCCAAGACCAATACCAACTAGCCCAACACACAGCTTTGATAAATAAATTGTAGATATGCTACTTTAAAAAAAAATATATTTCGGTGGATTTGGTTAGTATTATCCTGTATATGTGAATCATCTTAAGTAATACTTTCTCATCAAAGAAAAAAAAAGAAAAAAGAAAAAAAGAAAGAACCCCAGAACTGGTCTATCAAATACTCCCTCGCAAACCAGAATGCCTCAAATGGGATCCCAGAATGAGTAAGGCAGTTGCAATGACTCCTGGTGGTATTTTGTTTCACTGTATTTTAGACGCTTGTCTAGTGGTATCCGTATGCGGATATAATGGACAGGGAATATCAGTGACTTCCAAAGCATTCCTTATGAAAATCTTCCAAACGTACAAATCCTAAAAAATAAAAAAAAAACGATGAAATTGCGTTCACCCTTCTGAAAAATGTTTTTTTTTTCAAGTATGTGTTTGACAAAAGCTTTTGAAGTTTCTAAAACAAATTTTTTCTACTGAATGCGAAATTCTTGCTGGAAGTGATAAATTGAGTATAATGCGAAATATTTTTCGAGACAATTTGCTCCAAAATTGATAGAAAGTTGAAGGGGATCGGTCGGTTCCTTAAAGATATATTTTATTTTATTATTAAAGATTAAAAATTCAGAAAAATGGAAACAGTTGAGAATTTGTACTTGTATTTGCATTTGCATTTATTTGCGTTTGCAGGCCAAGGCCGGCTGGGCGGAAGAGGGAAACGGCGTTGCTGCCTCGGCTCCTGAGCCCTCCTATAAATGAAGGAATGGACTCTGGACCAGGGCCACAATACCGGACTCAACTCACCCGCTCCCGGAACCGACATGTAGGCGAACTTCATGACTCCGCCACATATGCGAAGGGAGAGGGAGTCTTCGCTGGACAGGAAGGCTCTCGACTCGGGCTTGGTCAGGATCGCCATCACCTGCGAATCCCGTTTGTAGCGAAACCGCCCAGGTTAGACTTTCACGCGCATGCGCAAAAAGTAAAAAAAAAAAAAAGTATAAAACAAAACCGAGAGAAAAGTTGGCGAGGGAAAGGAAGGCTGGGGAGGAGGAAGCAGACAAAATGCTGGAGAGGAGCGGTCTTCCTCTCCTCTCCAGCATTCCGTCTGCTTCCTTCCCCCAGCCATCCTTTTCCTCGCCAACTATTATTAACCTGTAATTGACTATAGTTGAGAGGGAGAGAGAGCAATATTAGTCGGGTGTATTGTTTCACATTAAGAAACTACCTATATCTTATAATAGGTTATGTGTTTGCTTTTATAATGTGTAAAATATAAAACAAACTGGACAAAGTCCCAAATATTTTAAGATTTCGTGGAAAAGTTGGGCAACACTGCTTAGTCGAGCTCCGTCGAACTTTGGTAAACGTACGAAGATTCATCGAACCAGTCGAATCCCAAGTTCGAGAAAAGTTCGCGGCCTCCCTACCTGCGACGTCGGCTGTGTGCCGTCTTGCACCGTCAGCGTGCTGACGGCGCAGTACTTGGTTTTGCTGAACCGCAGCTCCGTCAGGAACAGGGCGAGCCGTTCACCTGCGTGACGCCAACGAGAGTACATCATTCAGGTGGTATTCCTCGGCAATCATGGCTAAGTCCGTTACTTCTGAACGCATAATGGTTGTGAGCTTTAGCGACTCAGCCACAACGCTTCGGAACCGTGCATTCCACACCACGAGGATGCTCGTTCACAGCATGGGCGCTGGAGAGGTGCTCATGCGAGGTTACGGATACAGACTTTGGATGAAGTAAATTCTCATCCAAAAAATAAAATAAAAATGGAACAAAAGTTTTGAAAACAGCGATGCACACAAGCGGCTAGTGAATACTTGCTGCCCAGCACACGAGTGTCCGTTTCTTGAGAAAGCGAGCTAAAGCACGGTCCATACGCAGGAACTATGAAAACATACCGTCCAGGAGCTCCTTTCTTACAAGTAGCGGCAGTCTTAGCAGTGTTGAGTCGCGTGATGGTGCAGGTTTTGGGAAGAAGGTCTTGGCGAATAACAACAGCATCGACCGAAGAACAAGACATCCGTAATTTGTGCTTCGTCATGCGTTGTAGTTACATGACAGATACAATACACAGTGACGAGAAACTGAACCTGGATGCTCCTTATTTGAGCCGCAAGGGTTTGGACTCTGTAGCCCCGAAGCTGTCTCAAATGGAACGACTCACCATCACCTCCTCGCACACACCGAGGCAGAAAGAGCGAATGAATGAGGGTCTCCATGTTGCAAACCACTGGCTCATCAGTCGGATATCTTAAGTCCCGCTAAATATAAAGAGTTAGAGTCCGACATAGGAAAGTTTGGAAGACTAGGGGGGTCAGGAAGGGAGTTCGCGCCAACATGGCAGCAATTGCCAGCACCAGAAATCAAATGTGTTCTATGAAACACTGTGCTGGATTTGGTCATTTGTTGAAGAATCATCTGTTAAGTATCAGAACACGGGCTGTCGTAACCAAGAACAGGCTCGCTAACCCGGGCTCCTATCAGCTAAAGCACAGGATCTAGCTGATAGGAGCCCGTGAAGCCGCGCGTGTTGTCGCCGTCGTTAACTCATCGATATATCCTGTTTCCACGCACTTGTGTGCCCGAATTGGCTTTTGCTCGGGTTGACGACAATGCCAGCTTGTTGAAGTCGATCGAAGAGCAGGTGTAGGTGTCGTTCGTGCTCAGCCGGAGTTGGTTTGGCTACGAGGATGTCGACGGACATAGACGAATATGAAATGGAGCTTTCTGGTGACTTCATCAATGAACCTTTGAAATGTCTGCTCCAAATTCCTGAGACCGAATGGCATTCTGATATACTCGTTTGGGGGATATCGCTGTTTGGGGGATATCGCTGGGCGCCACAGGAATATGATGGTAGACCTTGACTAAGTCTATCTTGGAATAAATCACGGTTCCAGAGAGATTAGCAGAAAAATCCTGTATATGTGGGAGAGGATATCGGTCGGGCACTGTGGAAGCATTGAGTGCCCGATAGTTTCCGTACGGACCCAAGTCATTTATATACTTTTTTGGGACTATGTGAAGTGGTGATGGCCAGTTGCTAGAAGATGGTCGGATGATACCTAACTGTAACACTTGTCCAAACTCTCTCCTCGCGATCTTCAGACGCTCACCGGCGAGTCGACGAGGTCGTGCAGACACGGGCGCACCTGTAGTATTTATATCGTGCATGACTCCATGTTTTACAAGAGACTTCATGTTACATGGTTTTGTAATAGATAGAAACTAGGCAAGGATGGCTTCATACGACGATGGAGCCGAAGAACGTCGCATTGGGGAAACTGTCAGGTTAGATGTAATACCTTGTACAGACATCGTCGTGCTTGCGTCAGTCAGTGTGCGGCTGCTAATGTTGACTGTAATTCCGAATGGATCCAGGAAATCAGCGCCTATAATGGCCTGTTGTATAAGTCCGCGACTACAAATACCCACCTGAACGTCCGTCTGAGTCCAATGTTAATAGTCAGGGAACTTTGACCGTATGTGGCTGCTGCAGAGCTGTCGACCGCCCGGAGAGACGGTCTATAGTCGGTTGCAGTTTGCAATCCGCAGGGGAAGCAGGTAACACGCTAACCTCCGCGCCAGTATCGACGAAGAGCAGGGAGCAGGATGCCTGAAAGGGTGTCGCGAACATAGAACAGCCGGCTGCTGAGCTGGCTGGGATTACTCGCCACCGTTAGTGTCGGGCCTCGGCATTTCCCATTCATGAACAGGGTTGGATGCAGCGTCTTACTTGATCACCAAAAGTGCGATGCTACCAGCACATGGACCGGTCACCGGAGTCGGTAGTGCGGCGAGAGGGCGATCGGCCACAAGAAGAACTGAGCGGCCTTGATCAAGCTGCTCGGTCCGGGGCAGGTCGGAAGGCGGCGATGGCAGCAGCCAACTTCTAGATTTTTTATTCAATTTTAGCGACGGCTGTTTCCCATGGTTGTGAAGCAGGTGTTGTGACTTCACGAACAGCGGGTGCGGAGTAGTCAGCGGTGCGGTCTGCTAGTATCACGAGACGACCCAGCGACATGTCGTCTGCAGCGGCTAGGATCATTCCCATGCTTTCTGGTCGTTTTTGTAAGAAGAGCTCACGCAGAATTGTTTCATGACCGTAGTAGTTATGCGAGCCGAGCAGTTGACGCATCCGATGGAGGAGCTGCGACGGCCGGCGATCCCCAAGCTCTTGTGCGGTCAGCAGCTGTTGGATCCGGGAGGCGCTCTGTTGCCATTGTCCGAGCCAGGAGGACAAATTTTTGATAGTCGTACGCGTCGTCGGATGGGGTTTGCGACAGCGCGTCGTCAATTTCATCTGCAACCTGGGGGGGGGGGGGGGGGGGGGGGGGGTAGGCTGGCGACGACATGGTAAAAACGGGCAATCTGCGTAGTGACTCCTCGCAGATGAAGGTGCGTCTCCACTTGGGTAAACCAGACCTGAGAGTTTTTTGGACAGAATGTTGGTAACCATAGAGGGAGAGTTGTGGTGACTGTGGTCCCGGTAGCTTCGTCAATGTCGACGTGTGGTTGAAGGTTGGGTAGACTGGTGTTACCAAGTTGGCGGACGGTCGTGCCGCTAGTACCCAGTTGTCCGTTATCGGTCATGATAGAGTACTTCGGTTGATCACGTCCGGATCATCAAAGCTATAGAGACGTCCGACCAGGACGATGTCCGAAATCCAACTGGGCTTTTAATCTAATCGTTTCGCGCTTCGACCTTCTCTTCTTTGACTCGAGATCTCTTAGTGGCGCATGATCACATATTCGTACGATCATGCGCTATAGCTTGATACCTCCCGCTTCACTGCTACGGCTTGACGGTTCACCCGGAAAAACACAGCAACTCTGTTTCAGCTGTCGGTTGTCTCGTGGTACAGAAGAGATAGTTGATTTGTCTAGACTAATCCGGCCATCTTGTAGCTTCCACTCCACTGCCAGCTTAGGTTAGAAGTGAACAGAATGTAGCCTTTTCAGTAAAGTTCCACAAGGCGGTGCTTTGTATTTTGCTAGCCCCGCGAACTTCCGGTTTAGCAAGGAGTCCAAACAATTCCACCACCCGTCTTTTAGAACCGTAACTTGAGGGTGGTCGCGTGTGAGATCAATCAAAAATTTCTCGAATAATTCTATAATTTCACCGGTTGCCACTATAACTAGCTGAAGAGCACACCTAAAATATATTTTATAAATTTCCAATGTCATCGTTTGTGCATTATTTTAACGCACTAACACTAAGGGCAAGCAAAAACAACAACAAGCTAAAAGGTTTGCTGAGAAGAAGCCACCGGAACTCGCTTGGAGCAGCCTAAGCGGGTTAGAAAATCTAAAACGGACCATAATAGTCTGCAACGACTCACCTTTCGGTGCGTACACGTTCCAACTGCACTCGGACTCGTGCACGTAGAGGTTTGGGAAAGAGTTCGACTGTGCAACGCCTCCGGTCCGGTTGGCTATCACCATCATCTCGCACACTGCGGCAAAGGTATATTCAACGCCCCCTAAATAGCAAGGCCGTATATAGTTTTGGATTCTCTACGTGGCGTACCGGAGGCCAGTGCGAGGCTCAAATCGGACGCGAGTACTACATCAGTTTGACAGACGTTTGTAAGAATAAAGTACATTCAATTCAGTGTCCGGCTGGAACTCGTCCGTGTCCTCACCGATTGAACACGAGTCCCACAGCCCAACGCTGACGCCGCACGTGTCCCTCGCCGACCTGTCGATATAATTAAAGCTTGAAAAACGGTTTCTTCTACTTCCATCACGTTGCCTGGAACGCGTCTTCGACCGGTGTGTTTAGCGTCATGTTCCGCCCATGCATCGAAATTGGTTCCGAAGTGGCAACAAAGGACGTCACAAAAGCCGGGGTGTCATATGCTGCGGGGATGTCGCGAAGCAAGAAAGCAGTAGTGTTCGCGAGTGTCGCTGTCGACGCAGCGTTCCAACTCCTGGCTGCCGAAGCTCCCGTGAAATGTCACATTGGAGAGCGACCTGCAGAAGAACAGGCGTCTGGCCACATCCACCACCGCTACTGTGACCGTGACGCCGCCAGGATCGCGGCAGGCGACAGCGTGACACCTCTGACGTCATAAGGCGGAAAACGAGGCACCCTTTTTTTTGGGTGCGGTAACCGCACAAGTCGGAGACGCGTTCCAGGCACCATACTTCCACGTGCTACGTCATCACACTCAGACGGCTCCAACTCGGCAGTTGGGCCCGAACCGCACGCCGAGCGTCCTTCGACGCGTTCATTGGACGCGAGGCCCAGTCCAATGTTGACGCAGCACTCCCGTCCAACCTGCGTCTTCCTCGCTGGCCTTCGATAGTTGACGGAGAAATGAAGCACTATTGAACATTGGGTGCTACGAGCTCATGGTACTAATCAGAGAGCATCAAAAGGGTACATATCGCGACACTGTTAGCGCGAACACGGCATCGGCGTATTTTCGCATTTTACTTTGAAATAGTAGCGAGATTTAGTAGACCGTGTTTCCTGCTCCGCTAAGCCCCTCCGCTACCCGGAACTCTACTGCCAAGGCCATCGACGCGCAGGCGCAGTGGCGGTTTCTTCGTAGCGGAGGGCTGGCGGAGGGGGAAACACGGTCTACTAAAACTCCCTAATATTAGCGAGCACAAAATGTTATCGCTTACGTTATAGAACTAAATGAGCTCTTTCCGTAGCAATGATAACTTGGAGGACATCCATTGGTTTCAAACAGAAAAACTCGAAAAACCGGCGATCGCTTGTTCGCGCTAAGTGTCGCGCTCTGTACCATTGCGGTATTCGTTATGTATCTGTACGCGTTGTTTCATCGCTGAACCAATCATAAACAGAACAGGCCCAGTAACCTGCGCTTTTGACGATCCTTGATTGGTACCACTGGCTCGGAGCGTGGGCTGCGTCTGGATTTGAAGGCCGATCAACAAGCAGAAAGGAGGGGGGGTATGAACTTAGGTGAGTTGGTGGTACATTACAGCGAATTAAAAGCGCTAAACCACGAAGAATTAGGGGAAGTACGTGCACCACAGAGCGCTGGTGCACGTCCTTCCTTTATACTACTTCCTGTTCTAAATGTTTTTATGTCTCTCTCTCTCTCAAAAAAAAAAAAAAAAAAAAAAAGAGGAGAAAAAACTAATATCCGTTTCAGAAAGAGGGAGACCCTCCTCCCTGCTGCGGGGAGTAGCTCAAGGACCCGCTTCTGCGGAGAGAGAAGGGGAGAAGAGTGTGAGAGGCAATGGAGAGAAAGATACTGTGATATGGTTTTCTGCCCACCAGAAGACAATTATGTAAGTCGGCCTTTAAGCTCATCCGTCACTGATGTGGACACATAACAAGAACGGGTAGACTTACCAGAGCGAAATCGAAGCCGGAAGCTCGTGTGTGGATCTCTCTGTGCCACGTGCAGTCTGACGCGCACCTCGTTGTCGATTCCCACCACGACGGGAGGCGGCTCTTCTGCGCATCGCCGGGGCATCAGCTGCATCTGATTGCCTTTGCTGATAAAGTACGCCTGCAGGTGAGACACAAACAAACAAAAATACAAAGTTAGGTCCTAGATAGAGTTTATTGCTTTCGGTGTTTACTTTTTTTTTTTTTTTTATAACGGAGTTACTTTTCTTAGGAAATTTATTTTCCCCACAATTCGGTGATTTTCAATGTCACTTTTCGGCATCCGAGAAAAAGAATCGGCGTCTACAGGGTATGATGTTGCAGAAAACAAAACACGGGCGCAGGATTCCTCAATCTCCGAAAGGACATGCGCGTGACCCCGACAGACTACTTTAAAGTCGTCACGCTTCCGATGTGGGATGAAAACGAGTCGAGCATCGGCTTGTCAGTACCTCTGCGAGTTGTTTGTATCTGTATATGCTTGTATGTTGACATGCTGTGGTGTGTCTGCTGTGTTGTCATTTGTTGCTGGTAAGGTGGTAAGCTGGTCGAGTTGGCACTGTTTGAACACGATAAAAAATAGCGCACAAAAAGACGAGGACAGGGACAGGAACGGAACACAATAGCGCTTGTTTTGTCTCCTGTGTTCCGTTCTTGTCCTTCTCGTTGTCTTTTTGTGCGCTACTTTTTCATAATGTTCACTCGTCTTTTGTAGTTTTCAGCATGCTCACTAGGTGGCGCAAGCAGCCGCCCAATTTTACTTATTTAGTTTTTAGTGTACGTGTTGAAGACCCGCGGTCTTCGTTTTTTTGTCATGCTGAAGGGGTGCGGCTTCTGCAGAAAGAAGTAGCCTTGAGGGAAGTTCGATGGGGGCTGTGTTTTGGGTCCTATATATATATATATATATATATATATATATATATATATATATATTTATATAATTTAAGAGCAGCTTGAATTTGGGGATTTTGGCGTCTATCGGTATGAACTGAAAACACAAAAGTCCATGCTTCACTTCCACTTGCGATGGAATGCAGCCATACTTGTACGGTACTTGTTAGGAGGATTCAAATTACTCGCAATTAATCACCTTTTGAAGTAATTAAAGCATATAATTACTTTTTAGAATGTAAACACAAGAGTGATTTGATTACTTTTGGATGTACTAAAATTAGTTTTAACAGTTAGTATTTTCTTACCCACATTCCTAGTAGGACCCTTTGTTTTTGCAAGTTTTCTACTGAGGAATCCTCGAACCCAAGTCTCCGGCAGGAGGACAGTTTACCAAAATTGTGGTATTGAGAAGATGAGTGGTTTGGAATTCGGCGATACAAAACCGATAATGGAGAGTTCGAAAGACCAGAGTCTAAACCCCGAGACAAGGAGGAATAAAATACTCTCGTTCATTATTTTATTCCTCCTTGTTTGAAGGTTTAGATTATAATGTCTATCCAGCTCGCCTGCATACTTTCGCTCGTTGCAGTTCGAAAGGCCCGTTTTCAAACAGGCGGAACATTCTGTCGTTCTAATTATCTGAACAAATCGGAAAAGTAACGGCTCCTTTTTCAAGTAACGGCCAATTACGTTTTCTGTCAAGTAATCGAGTAATCTAATAGACCTCTCGCAAAATCGAAGCGATCCTAGCGGCGTAGTGCCGAGCAAAGCATCGTGGGTATCTTTTGGCTAACGTTACGGTTTCGATTTGCCAATCTCAATTCACGGTATCATGTCACGACCAAATGCAGTGCATTCATTTTCGAATACTTATGCGACTTTCCTTAAATATATGGTGTTGCGATACCAATACGAACAGAAGTGCCCGACGTACCAGAAGTTGTGCGCAGGTAAAAAAAAGAAAAAAAGAAGAAGAATTGTACGGGGTCAATCATCCTGTCCCATCGCCCGAACGTCCTAGGCTTCTTAAATGATCCGTGACCCGGTATAGGGTCGTGGCACTCCGAAATGGTTGCCAAGCCGCCAGAAAGGTATGGGACGCGGCAGGGCTTACTCTTACTCCTCGCGTAGTCTACGCATGCAGGTCTTTACGGTCGCTGGAAGTCCCAACGGGGGCTCTCAACGGGGGCTCTCACGAAGATGAATGGGTGCAATGCAAGCGAGTGCTGACTTTATGTTTATGCAGTGCTGAGGTGCACTACTTCATCAACGGGTCAATCGAAATCGAAATCATGGCACTCCTCTCTATGGCCAAAGAGGTGCCGTAATGCAACGCGCGCAGCAGACTTGTACACGTTACTGAAAAATAGTAAGGAATTACATTTACAATTACTCAAGGCTAAATTGTAATTTATTACAATTACAATTACTTTCCCATGAAAGTAACTGACCGTTACCCCAAAAAGTGATCCGTTACTTTCGTGGCGTTACTTTTAACATTATTGTCCTCAAGTAAGAAACAAAGAGAAGAGGGTTATTCAAGTTCTTATTGTTGCAACGTGTTCCATTTAATGACCTTGAGTATTTTGAGCAACAGCTGGCCCTCGAAAGTCTCGTCAGACATTTTGCGTTATTTCTTACTCAGTATGTCGACTGCTACGCTGAACACCATTTGAGCTGAGGCACTGGATGGGAGTGCCATATTGTTCCTCACGAATGCTTCATGCTCTGCATTGAGCTTTTCCAGCGAAGCAAGGGAAGTACTATTTACCTCGACTGTAGAGCAAAGCTTCGTCGTTGCAGCCGTTGCCTGCTATTCGAGAGATTTAGCAGATCCTTCCGATACCTCCAATACCCGCGATAACGATATGATGCATACGCAAAGACGGCGGCGAAGTGTCGGATATCGATATCGGAGTCATGGGACCGATCTACTAAAATTCCCCATTGTCTAAATCGCGAAGCTGTGAAAGTCATCAATAGGAAAACATAGTTGTAACAGTAAGGCGATAATTAAATAATCAATAATGTTTGGCTCTATATTCTCCTTCCTTTGGTTCTGAACAGTTCGAGCCCCACTTGAGACGTTGGTGAATAAAATAAAGTTTCCAGTATATAAATATAAGTAATAAAAGAAAAAGAAGGACACTCATAACAACAATTAATTAGAACGTCGGTTAAAAGAAGGAAATGTAAACGCACGTTTGCCGTGTGTACCTTTCTTGGTGCCGTTCAAAAACGCACGGAGCACGAACCGACTGCAGTTTACTCCGGTGTTCTCCAGATAGACGTCCGCTGATGCCACGGGCAGGAAAGGGTAGAAGTAAGCCGCGCTATGGCCCCACTCGCGAATTTCACCCTGTCCTCAAGCCCAGAATATCAACTACGTCAGCCAGCATTATGTTTTATTTGTAAAAACACCTCCTTGAGATAAGATGGGCCCTGCTGGGGCAAAACAGGAAGAAGAAGGGAAGACTATTAGCATTTTCTAAGTGCTCGCAAAAAGCTAACCCACAAAAAGGGTAGGGTTAGGGTGCCTACATGTTTCCGCTCCGCTTTAGGGTGGCGCCAACTTCTTGTTACCCTTTCCCAGATCCTCTCCCACCGCCATTTTGACCCACTCCTTATTTGGCTAAACGTACACAACGTTGAGTTTTCGTAGTTTTGACGCACCGGCAACACTGTGAGGCCACTTCCGTTTCCGTTCATAAGAGGAGTCGGACGAGTCGGAGGCTCAGCGGGATGGCGGTCGTCGTGGCTGTCGCTCTCGTTATTCGGGTGTTTCATACTTTGAAGTTGCAAGCAGGAAGTATGCGTTGCGTTTATCGAAACGTGAGTCCCCTCGACAAAATGGAACGCAACAGACCGGCATCGCACGCCAAAACCTCACCGTCGGAACGAGAGCGGTGGGCGCTCCCTAGCCCTAACGAGGATTAGCGGAGTAGCGCGAGTGCACGACTGGCGAGTGTGACAAAATGGTCGACGAAACAGCGGAGGCTGCCATGGTAACGAGGTAGGCAACACTGGTTTGTCGGCAACAGGTATCACAAACGTTGTCGCCACCCTAAACAGCGGAGCGGCGGGAACATGTAGGCACCCTAGGTAGGGTAGACGGACCGTTGCCTAGTGTTGTGACATTATTAAAATTTTCGTAGAAGGACATTGTTAAGTCTTTTCAGTGCATTTACCGCCTCGAGCTTCTCGAAGAGGCGCACAATGACTTTGGCGTCCTCCTCTCCCCGTCTTCGATCGCAAAGAAAAAGCGGATTAAAAAAAAGCGGAAATAACTTGCCCCCTCCGCCCTCCCCCCCCCCCCCCCCTTTTTTTTTTTTTGTAGAAATGTTCATTTGGATTTTTTGACACTGTTGTTAGGGTCCAAAAAAAAATGGTGTTGCAAAAAAAAAAAAAAAAAAGGCTTTGCGGAACTGAAGTGCAAAGCCTCCCTTTGCGCTGGTCAATTCGCGTTACAGTGTCACTGCGCTCAACTTTACAAAAATAAATAAATAAAAAAACTTTATTTAGAAGGGGAGGGGGGGGGGGTTGGTTCTGTCAAAATAATGTAACGGATTACAAGGAATCCGTTACGTCAAAAATGTAAGGGAATTACTTTAAAATTACTCTAGAGAATATGTAATTATTCCGTTACTAAATTACTGATAAATGTAAGGGATTACAAGTAATTTCGTTACTTGTAACGGATTACGTACAAGTCTGGCGCGCAGTGTTGCATACAAGGTTTTTTTTTAAGTAGGCTATTGAATACTTTTAACCAGGAGTAAATGTAACTTTAATTGATTACTCTTTTTAGTAACGTCTACAAGACAGGCTGCAGCGAACGCCACGGGCCAAAGGAGCCAGTATAGGGTTGTGCGGCTAAAGTTTCGCCGTGCCGCAGCGCCACTTCTCCCCCTGGCGAGGTGCGCCCATATTCTTAGCAGTACGAAACGCAGACGTCGCAGGAGGCTGGTATGCTTGTTGTGCTGGCCTCCCGCTTGGTAAAGTGATGTACCACAAGCAAAAGGGCAAGGCACCAGGCATTGTTGTGTAGTTAAACGCCACAGCATCGTATTAAACTGGAAGGTAAATATGTGTCTCCGAAAAACTTTTATTCGGTTTCTGGGAGGTGATTCAAGAAAGATCGCCAGAAGCATGAATCGCCAGCTGTGCGGAGGACAGGGTTAAATGTTGTTTCTCTATCTCGTTCTGGCGGCAGCAGTGACGAGCAAC